AGAGGAAGGAAGACTGTGAATGTAAGAGGAAGGAAGAGTGTGAATGTAAGAGGAAGGAAGACTGTGAATGTAGGAGGAAGGAAGAGTGTGAATGTAGGAGAAAGGAAGACTCTGTGAATGTAGGAGAAAGGAAGACTCTGTGAATGTAAGAGAAAGGAAGACTGAATGTAAGAAGAAGGAAGACTGAGAGGAAAGAAGAGTGTGAATGTAGGAGGAAGGAAGAGTGTGAATGTAAAAGGAAGGAAGACTCTGTGAATGTAAGAGGAAGGAAGACTTTGTGAATGTAGGAGGAAGGAAGACTCTGTGAATGTAAGAGGAAGGAAGAGTGTGAATGTAAAAGGAAGGAAGACTGTGAATGTAGAAGGAAGGAAGAGTGTGAATGTAGAAGAAAGGAAAAAACTCTGTGAATGCAAGAGGGAGAAAGCGACTGTGAAAGTAAGAGGAAGGAAGACTGTGAAAGAAAGAGGAAGGAAGACTGTGAATGTAGGAGGAAGGAAGAGTGTGAATGTAGGAGAAAGGAAGACTCTGTGAATGTAGGAGAAAGGAAGACTATGTGAATGTAGGAGAAAGGAAGACTGAATGTAAGAAGAAGGAAGACTGAGAGGAAAGAAGAGTGTGAATGTAGGAGGAAGGAAGAGTGTGAATGTAAAAGGAAGGAAGACTGTGTGAATGTAAAAGGAAGGAAGACTCTGTGAATGTAAGAGGAAGGAAGACTTTGTGAATGTAGGAGGAAGGAAGACTCTGTGAATGTAAGAGGAAGGAAGAGTGTGAATGTAAGAGGAAGGAAGACTGTGAATGTAGAAGGAAGGAAGAGTGTGAATGTAGAAGAAAGGAAAAAACTCTGTGAATGCAAGAGGGAGAAAGCGACTGTGAAAGTAAGAGGAAGGAGACTGTGAAAGAAAGAGGAAGGAAGACTGTGAATGTAAGAAGAAGGAAGACTGAGAGAAAGGAAGAGTGTGAATGTAAGAGGAAGGAAGACTGTGAATGTAAGAAGAAGGAAGACTGAGAGGAAGGAAGACTGTGAATGTAAAAGGAAGGAAGACTGTGAATGTAAGAGGAAGAGTGTGAATGTAAGAGGAAGGAAGACTGCGAATGTAGGAGGAAGGAAGAGTGTGAATGTAGGAGAAAGGAAGACTCTGTGAATGTAAGAGGAAGGAAGACTGAATGTAAGAAGAAGGAAGACTGAGAAGAAAGAAGAGTGTGAATGTAGGAGGAAGGAAGACTCTGTGAATGTAAGAGGAAAGAAGACATTGTGAATGTAGGAGGAAGAAAGAGTGTGAATGTAAGAGGAGGGGAGACTGAATGTAAGAAGAAGGAAGACTGAGAGGAAAGAAGAGTGTGAATGTAAGAGGAAGGAAGACTGTGAATGTAAGAGGAAAGAAGAGTGTGAATGTAAGAGGAAGGAAGACTGTGAATGTAAGAGGAAAGAAGAATGTGAATGTAAGAGGAAGGAAGACTGTGAATGTAAGAGGAAGGAAGAATGTGAATGTAAGAGGAAGGAAAACTGTGAATGTAAGAGGAAGAAAGACTGAATGTAAGAGGAAGGAAGATTGTGAATGTAAGAGGGAGGAAGACTGTGAATGTAAGAGGAAGGAAGACTGTGAATGCAAGAGGAAGGAAGACTGTGAATGTAAGAGGGAGGAAGACTGTGAATGTAAGAGGAAGGAAGACTGTGAATGTAAGAAGAAGAAAGACTGTGAATGTAGGAGGAAGGAAGAGTGTGAATGTAGGAGAAAGGAAGACTCTGTGAATGTAAGAGAAAGGAAAACTGAATGTAAGAAGGAAGACTGAGAGGAAAGAAGAGTGTGAATGTACGAGGAAAGAAAAGTGTGAATGTAAGAGGAAGGAAGACTGTGAATGTAAGAGGAAAGAAGAATGTGAATGTAAGAGGAAAGAAGAATGTGAATGTAAGAGGAAGGAAGACTGTGAATGTAAGAGGAAGGAAGAATGTGAATGTAAGAAGAAGGAAGACTGTGAATGTAAGAGGAAGGAAGACTGTGAATGCAAGAGGAAGGAAGACTGTGAATGTAAGAGGAAGGAAGACTGTGAATGTAAGAGGGAGGAAGACTGTGAATGTAAGAGGAAGGAAGACTGTGAATGTAAGAGGAAGAAAGACTGTGAATGCAAGAGGAAGGAAGACTGTGAATGTAAGAGGAAGGAAGACTGTGAATGTAAGAGGGAGGAAGACTGTGAATGTAGGAGGAAGAAAGAGTGTAAATGTAGGAGAAAGGAAGACTCTGTGAATGTAAGAGGAAGGAAGACTGAATGTAAGAAGAAGGAAGACTGAGAGGAAAGAAGACTGTGAATGTACGAGGAAGGAAGACTGTGAATGTAGGAGGAAGGAAGAAGGAAGACTGTGAATGTAAGAGGAAGGAAGACTTTGTGAATGTAAGAGGAAGGGAGACTGTGAAGTAAGAGGAAGGAAGAATGTGAATGTAAGAGGAAGGAAGATTGTAAATGTAAGAGGAAGGAAGACTTTGTGAATGTAAGAGGAAGGAAGACTGTGAATGAAAGAGGAAGGAAGACTGTGAATGTAAAAGGAAGGAAGACTGTGAATGTAAGAGGAAGGAAGACTGTGAATGTAAGAGGAAGGAAGACTGTGAATGTAAGAGGAAGGAAGAATTTGAATGTAAGAGGAAGGAAGACTGTGAATGTAAGAGGAAGGAAGACTGTGAATGTAAGAGGAAGGAAGATTGTGAATGTAAGAGGAAGGAAGACTGTGAATGTAAGAGGAAAGATATTTGTGAATGTAAGAGGAAGGAAGACTGTGAATGTGAAACATTATGTGTGGGAGACTTATACATGTATGTACATGCTATACTGATTTCTTAAACTTGCAAAGTGAAGCATTCCAGAACTGATATGTACATGCCATATTTGTGTATTGATTGTGAGGTTTTACTAAAAAAATGCAAATTAACTCTAGATGATGTTTAAGGTATTGAGGATTGGAATTTTAGATGAAGTGAAATCATTCATTCAACTCTGCCCGTGTCATCTCTTTTGTTGCCTACAGACCACAGCATCAACTGAACATAGCACGAGAAACCCCTGTACTTAAACCCACATGATTTATTCAGATTGATCCCAACCACCAATACAAGACTTGATAACTTACCGGTAGTTTGCTAAACAATCTGTTTTATAATGTGATACATTTAATATGTGTCATATCATTAGTTTGCTAATATCATCTCTGACACTCAATTAGGATGTCTTACCTTGGTCTACATTGGTAAATAGCAGCATTGGTTATGACTAGACAGCCATCTAAAACAGTATGACATTCTGTTTCAGAGACCTGATTAGCTGCCGTGGTACGTTTCACCTCCCCCATGCTGTCCATCTGTTCTTCCCGATGTCTTCTTTCCAGGTTAATCAAGTACTGTGGAGGAAAGCTTTCCTTGTACACTTCCAGAATTACTTCATTGGCGGGAAGTGAGAACATCTGTACAATAGCATCAGTGTCTCCTTCAGTTGTTGGGGAAGAAGTTTCTGACATTTGGTTGGATATAACACTTAAGTGCACCTGGGGTAGCAAAAAAAAAAAAAAAACATTTTATAAATTACACAACTTTGTGTTTGAAAAGTATTTTATCTGGTTTGAATAAAAGAGTAAAGATTCATATGTGAGTAAAAAACGATTCTTTGTTGTAAAAAATTTATTTTCTATATCTCATCAAAGGTCATAATTTATTGGACTGATCATAATGGGAATTTTTAACTATAATGAACATATTTTAAAAGCTCTAGAAAAATAATGTTGAAAAATATAGAACAAGTCATTCAAAATGACACAGTCCCCGTTAAATTAAGTTCTCTCGTCATATTAAAGCGGAGGGGTTGTCGCGAGTGTGTCCTTGAAACTTGAGTTCCATGTGACGTATACAACAGATTGTTTATTTACATCAAAACACATGTTCCGTGTAGTAGTAATATAGCCAAAAATAAAAACAGCCGTTATTCGGCCTTTTTTGATTTTTTGATTATGAAACACACTGATATGTATGATGTATGTGCCAAATACGAATGAAAATGGTACATAAATTGTGGAAATATAGTAGTAAGACCAAAAAGTCAGATGGCTGTCAATCGGCCATCCATGACCAGATTTTGAAACAAATTGTCATGGACATGCATCCTAACATGTATGAAGTACATGTATGTGCCAAATTTGAATGAAAACTGACAGAGCACGTCCAAGATACTGCATAAAAAAACAAAAACAAAATGCCTGCCAGTCAACCATCTTTGATCCAATTGCGAAATAAATCGTCATGGACATCATGTATCCTAACATGTATAATCCATATACCAAGTTTGAATGACAACTGACAAAGCATGTCCAAAATACAACATTTTCAAAAAACAAGATGGCTGCCAGTCGGCCATTTTTAATCGAATTGCTAAACCACTGCATGTGCATATGTCCCACATAAGGTACTAGGCACATGCAAAGAATGAACGAAATCGGTCTACAGGATTCTGAAATATGACTCTGGACAGACTGAGGGACGGACGGACACATGGACGGATGGACAGACTCGCGGACGGTCGGGGACATGTATCCGAACATGTATGATCTATGTACTAAATTTGAATGAAAACTGACAAAGCATGTTCAAAATACGACATTTTCAAAAAAACAAGATGGCTGCCAGTCGGCCATCTTTGATCCAATTGTGAAATAAATCGTCATGAACATGTATCTTAACATGTTCAATCTAAGTACCAAGTTTGAATGAAAACTGATAAATAAGATGGCTGCCAGTCAGCCATTTTGACTCGAATCGCTAAACCACTGCATGTGCATATGTCCCACATAAAGTACTAGGCACATACAAAGAATGAACAGAATCGGTTCAAGGGATTCGGAGATATGACTTCGTCTGAACGGGGACTATTAAAAATGTTACCGGTACATCTGATTTTTTTTGTAAAAAGTAACAACTGTTCAGTAAATAAAAAAATGAAATTTGGAGAAAGCGGTTATGTCCATAAAAGGTACAGTACAAATGCAAAGTATAACTCAATGAGTTGAGAAAAAGATTAAATATGAAATGTAATATGTGGTTGTTTGTACATTACCACCAGCGAGTGATCAAACTGCAGTCACAATTATTATTTGAAAGTAAAAATATTCAGATTAACAAGGGTGTAAGTAAATACCAATGAGGACAACCACATGGTAATCTTTGGACACTTATCGTTTGAAGTAGTATTTTATTTGGAAAGATTTCATAAGTCATAGGATGATCAAACTATACATGATTTATTAATGAATTGTGAACTGTACTTGGTATTAAAGCAACAAACATACAATCATGTACTTCTTCGTTTCTCGCCTAGTTTCACCCATGTCATATAAAAGTATACTCTATATTCAGTATTGATATTCATACACAATATAAGATTTGATAGGAGATTTCATTTTTGACACTGTAATATGCTGACTTGTATTGGTAGTAATCTTATTCGTGACAACCAGAATTGTGAACTCACCTGTCTATCAGAGTCACACTTAATTCCCACTGACATGATAACTAGAGTTGTAAACTCACCTGTCTATCAGAGTCACACTTAATTCCCACTGACATGATAACCAGAG